AGGCCACTGCCCCTTTATGGAGCTCTTCGGTGATGCACGTTGGAATTGCCTTTAGTTCAGGGTTATCATGACCAGCAGGCAAGTGTGCGCTCTACATCTTTGTTGTGTTTTCCATCCTTGTCAACGTTCTTGCAGGGAAGGGCGTTTATGACCTGTGGAGCTTAGCCTTCTCAGAAACCTCCTAGCAAAAGTGAACTTTTAAACGCTCAGAGCTGTCCTTCACACCAGCTCTTTGAGACAGGATCTGTTCAGAAGAAAATTGAAAGGGGTATTGAAAAGCAGGTCCATCACAGGCACTTGTGTGTGTTCCAGACAGCTGTTAAGAATAGCGAGCGTAGCGTCAGCTGCCCGACCACGTGGATAGCAAGCTCCCTTCCCTGTCTCTCAAGCTCCCTGTCCATCCGCTGTCTGACCTGGATGCAGTGTCTGCTCCTGACCCTGTTCTGCTTGTGTGGAGCAAAACAGCCTCCAGCCCAGCTCCCTCGAGAACGCCCTCGGGTGTGGGTGCCACCTCTCACACTAGCTTCCGGCTGTTTGATTGGATGCTCCTTGGGTGAACAGAAATCTTCAACCCAGTTTTTGGTCACCTTCTGGACCTGGGTCCTGACACACCACTGCCTGCTCTTCACCTAGCCAGCCCTGATCCAAACCCAGGTCTCCCTGACTACTGGCCATCACATCCCTCCCAGGAGCCAGAGCTTGTCGCCGACAACGCATGTTTTCTCCAGTTACAAGGAGATTTCCAAATTAGTTCAAATAAGCCCATGAGTTTATTTTCATCTCTGCAGAAGTTGACAAGTTTTCAAAATTCTTAGTGATAGAAGGTCCACCTTCCCCACCCCCTTGTCCAAACAAACAAGTAGCTTAATTGTATTACTAGTTTTACCCTAGAAAACCAAACCTGTTGCTGGAAAGCCAGTGCTGACTCATGACACCCCTGTAGGGCAGAGTAGAACTGCCCCCTACAATATCTAAGGCTGGACATTTTTATGGAAGCAGAAAGCCTCATCTTTCTTCCATTGACTGACTGGTGGATTTGAACCACCAGCCTCTCAGGAGCTGAATGCTTAAGTAGCTCTTAAGATGAACTAAATCTGTGATTTTAATACATACACACACACCTGCATTGCAATGCCATCTTGGTGTGATAAATAATCACTTTGTGCTACTGAGACTATTCAGTTCATATCATATGATGAATGTAAATAAGGTCTTGTTGAATGAGGGGAGAACTTGCGCTTACATATTTTGATACTTGTTGATTACCAGGTCTGCCTTAACATATTTCCCCCCTTATTTTTAACAATATATAATCAGTCTCGGCACATTTGTTTTTCCGCCTGTTTTTAGAAAATCAAGCTTGAACTGCTTCAGTTGAAACAACAAGTGATGGTAAGGCCCTCTTTCTTGTTTGCGTGTGTATTTCTAATTACAGCTAAGTACAGGACAATGGTACTGTCGGAGGGATTGTTACTGTAAAATCAGGGTTGTGCACACTCACCTTGTGGACCCTTACATCCTCATACGGGAGTCTTCAAAGCTTCGCTGCTGTTAAAGGAGAAGGGCTCTGATGGGAGTCTGAGAGAAAGCTTTATTTAAGCCAGAATTGAGTATCTCACTTTTATGACCCCATCTCCGTTTCCTAACGACCAATAGGCAGTCTGTGCCTAAGCTTCACAGGGAGCACCGCGGTGTGAGAATCCTGAGGTTAAAAGCGACACAACCGTCGGCCTCAAGTGGGAAATGATGATGGCGGCATGTGTGCAAATGTGCTTGACACACTGCATGAATGTATGGACGTGATAAGAGATGTAAGCTCCCCCAATAATAGTATTTTTTAATTGCTGAAATGCTGTAAAAAAACAAAACAAAACGACAACAACCAAAAAGCCAAGGGAAAAAACCTCCTATGCTGGCTTAAGGATCAAAAGAGCCCCACAACATCCGTCGAGTCCATTTTGACTCTGTGCAGGGTTTCTGAGACGTAAATCTTTAAGGTAAAGGACATCTTTCTCCAGAAGGAGCAGCTAGTGCAGTGGGCGGCTCTCAACCTGTGGGTCGCCACCCCTTTGGGGGTCGAATGACCCTTTCACAGGGTTCCCCTGATTCATCACAGTAGTAAAATGACAGTGATGAAGTAGCAACAAAAATAATGTTATGGT